TTTAAACTAAAAATGATATAGATTTCACTACGGTTGATTAAACCAACTGTGTTGATATGATTTCCTTTTTTTAATTTTTAAATGGTTAAAAAATGGTGCATTTTTATGAAATTAAATTTAATAAATAGGATATCACCAGAGTCTGTTTAACCAATAGTAGAAAAAATTATATTCTTATTTAATAAACACGACTTAGCTTGTCATGTCTATTCAATTGTCATTGCCTTACAAAACGAAACATATATTCAACACTGAGAAACAATTTTAACCCTACCAATTTTTTCATTTTCATTAATGAAAGGAAGAATCATATTATTTCATCTCTAACTCGTTCAACATTATATTTTTACCATCAATATCGTTCTTCAGTAAATGTGTAAAAAACACCACCATTATCGTTCTTGACTAAACAAATGAGGAACACGAAGATACTTGCAAGATGGAAGGGAGAAACTCACATGATTCAAATCTTTGACTTCTTCTTCACATTTATGATACATAAAATATTTCTACCATGCATGTAACAATATAATATTGGTGAGATATGTTTTCTTATGTTGTTGTTGTTGTTGTGTTATTGAGATATTGTAGGTTTTGGTATTGAGATATATATTATTGTTGAGATATGTTTGTTTATTTTGTTGTTGTTGGTAATATATGTTAGGTTATGTTGTTGTTGGTAATATATGTTAGTTTATGTTGTTGTTGTGTTATTGAGATATTGTAGGTTTTAGTATTGATGATTTTGTGCTATTGAGATATTGTATATATATACATACATATATATATATATATATATATATATATATATATATATATATATATATATATATACATACATATATATATATATATATATATATATATATATATATATATATATATATATACATACATATATATATATATATATATATATATATATATATATATATATATATATATATATATATATATATATATATATATATATATATATATATATATATATATATATATATATATATATATATATATATATATATTTGTGTTGTTATTGTTGTTTTTGAATATTTAGTGCCTATGTTGTTATTGTTGTTGACATTTAGTGCCTAAATCCTATAGGATTATTTGTTGTTGTTGGTGTGAATGTTAATGAAGTTATCTTATTTGTTTTGTTGAGATATGTTATGATTATGTTATTGTTGTTGTTGATGATGATGATGTGCTAAGTGCATAAACCTTAAAGGTTTATGATGTAGGAAGCATGACTACGCGTCTCAAAGAGGAAGTCATGCACCTTTCTTCCACACGAATTGTGCATGTATTGCGTCATATGTCAAAATAACTATTATTATACCTTTTTGGATAGATAATCAGGTCACAAGTCTAACACGATGATTCACCATAATCTATGGGCTTCTTAAGCCATCGAAGTTTGTTTTAGGCCCAAATTCAGCATTTAACTATTTTTTTGCATTTTGTTTTATTTAATTAATTTTGTTTGGGATTAAAGGCCCATTAGGGTTTCTTTGTTTTCTATATTTAAAGACCTTTTGCGTAGGCGTAATGATTATCTTCCATTATAGTAAAAATTCATAGTTTTCTACTTTCTGGTGGATTCCAGCTTTATTTGATAAGTTGTCACTTATAAAGTTGTGTTTTGTTCTAGGTTTAGCGCTTGATATTTCTTTCGAGTTTTCGAATGCGCCAGTTGGCATCGAAGAAGGTTTTTTTCTTCTTTTTTTTCTTCGTATCTTGACCACCATGGTAGATCAACTAGTGACCAGAGCAGATCTTGAGGGAATTACCACAACTTTTACCACTGCTCAAACTGCTTCAGATGAATAGATGACGACTATAGCAAATTAGTTGAACAACACCAACAATAGCGAGAATCAGAGAAGATCCATGAGTCAATAACTGATTAGGGTTCCCGGGGTGGCAACAATCATGTTGAAGATACGAGTTCTAAAGAAAAATAACCCTATGAGGAAGAGGCTAATCGTGGGAATCGACAAAACAACCATGACTATCAAGTGAATGTTGATATTCCATTGTTCTACGGAACAATGGGAGTGGAGGAGTTTATGGATTGACACATCGACGTAGGCAGGTTCTTCGAAGTTATGGGAGTCCCTTAGAGAACAAGCAAGCTAAGGTGGTGGTGGTGATCTGGCTTAAAAGTACTGCTGTTATCTGGTGGAATAAACTTGTTGCTAAGAGGAAGAGGCAAAGGAAAGGGACAGTCAAAACTTGGTGAAGAATGAAACAATTGATGTTGGAGCGATTTTTACAAGAGAATCATGAACATCTTCTTCATAAGATGTTTATTGAGTGTGTTTAGGGAAAGAGAACTATGACTGAATACACAGCTGAGTTTCTATATTTTTCTGAGCATAACAAACTGGGAGAATCAGAGATCCAGAAAGTGCCTTGATACATCAGTGGCTTAAAGGGATCCTTGCATGAGAAGATGGGTTTGCAAACTGTATGGATCATAGTTGAGGCATCCAATTTAGCTTTGAAGGAAAAGTTGATGGATAAATCCCCTTGAAATTTCTCGTCTTTTAGAGGTTTCTCACCCCATAATAACTTTGTATCAACAGGTGATAAGGAAAAGAGTGCAACACCCAGGGATTCCAACCCTGGGAATAAGGGCACTAACATCTCTACTGATGTGCAGCAGGGTAAAATACCAATCCAGCGGTAGAATAATCCATATGATAAATCCACTAGAGACATGTGTTATCGTTGTAATGAAAGATGTCACAAATCAAATGTTTGTCCAACAAGAAGATTTGTTGCTATGGTAGAAGAAATGGAGGAAGATGAAGAAATAAAAGATTCTACAGTTGAGAACGATGAATATTTCGAGGTTGAGTTTGCAGAGGAAGAATCTGATGAACTGGTAAATTTTGTGCTACCAAAATTTTTACTTGCATCCAAAGATGAAGGGAAACACAAGAATTTGTTCATAACACGTTATTCTATCAAGAACAAAGTGTTTAATCTGATTGTCGATAATGGTAGTACGGAGGATATGTTGTCGCAAAAATTGATAGGTTATTTAAAATTGTCCATAGAATCCATGAGAAGTCCTACACCCTCGATTGGATAATCAAGAGCTCCCAATATATTAAAACATACTCCCAATGCATTTTTCACATACAACCATTTTTGCCACATCACTCATATTCCTATGTGACATCATCTAAAATTTAACTTCACTTTTCCAAATTCAAAATCACATAGAGTCTCTCCTTAATATTACGGATTCGAATCCTAAAAATGAAAAAAAAAAAAAAAAAAAAAAATATATATATATATATATATATATATATATATATATATATATATATATATATATATATATATATATATATATATATATATATATATATATATATATATATATATATATATATATATATATATATATATATATAAACCTAATAACTACTTATATATTTACATAAAACTTATAAAGTTATATTTGTATTTTTCTTGCAATTATTTTTTAATTATAAAACTAAAAAAATGAAAGAAAAAAAATATTAACCTAAAAATTACTTACATATTTTAATAAAATTGAAATGTCTAATACTTTATTTATCCTTATAGAAATGCCATTTCAAAAATAAAGATTTAAATTTATAATTAAGCCAAACACAATAAATTAAAACGTCTTATACTTTTTCTATCCTTATAGAAATATCATTTCTAAAATAAAGAGTTAAATATATTATTAGACTAATTTCTCGGCCAAAAATTATAACATGTATTGTTTTATGTGTCATATATTTATAAATAAAAGTTATTGGAATACCGTGCATCCGAATACATATGAGTATATACGTTATATTTTAAAAATATAATAAAAGTGTAAATAAGAAAAACAACATAGTTTTATAAAATAGTTTACTATTTTTAAAAATTAGAAAGACAATTTCTATTACTAAGATTTTAGTTTACAAATTACAAAATACCAAAATATCATTGAAAAAAAGAAAAAGAAAATAATTGTATAAGTTTTTAGCTATCTCTATTACTAAGAAAGACAACTAAACACATACTTTATAAAAAATAATTAATTGTGAAAAAATAGAAATAACTTTTTTCTTTAGAATTGATAGAGTTGTAATAATAAAAGAGTTTAAAATATGAATTAAAAAGATAAAACGTAGTTAAGTGACATAAGTTTTTCACTTATTTTTTTAATTGTATAAAAAGTATAAAAACTTAATTGAAATTGTATGATTACCCATGTATTCACATAATACTAGTGTTACTTGTGCGTTAACACGGACTCGTGCGTTCGCACATGTACTAATGTGTTTAACTGATTTGATATGATTACTCGTATATTCATACAGTACTGACGTATTATCTGTGCGTTTGTACTTATTCTGGTGTGGACCGCGGATATGTCACCAGTTTAGTTTTGAAATTCAAATAAAATAAAAAATATTTAAATTTAATTATAAAAAAAGAAAAATAATAAAAATAATCAAAAATAAATATATAAATGGAGCTTGCCAAGCCATGTTTTCCTCTACCGGTTGTTGAGGATGATGACTACCGCCCCTTTCTCCATTATCTTTTATTTGATTGTTTTGTTCTGCTAAATTTCTCTACCCATATTCCCATGCTCACATCTTCTATTTTAAACAACTGCATTAAGAAGAAAAAAACAAACAACTTTAGTTATAATGGACCGGCATGAAGATACTTGATCAAATAAAGAGACAGCAGGGAAATTGTGCAGTGATATTTTGAACTCACCCTTAATTTATGCCACTGTAACAATAAAACAGCAACAATGTCCCTTCACCTTGTTACACACCAGAAAATATGGGTTGCTGCAATAATTGTTATTAGACTTTGGAGGTGAAACAAACACATTTTTTCAGATTATTCAATAAAGATTTGTTAAGTGGTTTAAAATGAAAATGATTTGGAAAAATGATAATTGATATCATGGTGGATTGAAAAAAATCAGTGGTACTGTGATTTGGTACCGTCATTTTGTTGAAGCACCTTCAACCAACAACCAAGCCCCCTCCGATCGCGAGATCCCACTCTTGCTTAATCCTAAAATCAAAATAGATTTCAAAATTACTCAATTTATCAAAAAAACAAAAAAACAAAAAAAAAATACCCATTTCTTTTGACAAAATATGTCTTACGACGAGCAATACCTCTTTTGCAGTACCATGGCCTTTCGTTTAGATGAACGTTTTGATTGTGAAGATTCAGAAATTGAGAAAGAAAGAACAGAGAAGCGGAAGAGGAAGATGAAAAGAAAGAAGAAGAGGAATAAAACGTCAGAGAGAAAGAAAAAAAAAAGGATAAGAGAGAAAGAGAAAATTGTTATTTTGTTTGAAATTTCAATTAAAGTATAAATGGAAAGAAGAGAAGGATTATCATTGTTTCCTATGTTTGGTCAAAAAGAACAACAATTAACTAAATGGAATAAGGTATTGACACGTAGGCAATGATATGAAGTGTTTTTTCAGAGATTAAATTCTTTTTATATGATAGATATAAAAATTGATAAAAAAATAAGCATATAAATTTATTTACTAAATAAAATTAAAAATATTTATACAACGCCCAGGTCAATATCTAATGTTATTTTATTTTCAATAAGTTATAGATGTTTCTTATGCTTCAAACTAGGGGCAGTGAAATGGACTTAGTTTGTTCGGCATATCCATTTTACCCGTATTTTAGTGTGGGGTGAGCTAAGAATTTAGATTCTCACCCTCTAATATGACCGTCCCGCTCTGTTCTGTTTTTTTCGCGGATTTTTGCGGGCATAATTATTAGTATAAAATTTTGTATTTTTAAGCTTAAAAAGTACAGTGTCTGCGGGCTTTCCCTGCCCCGCACTTACTTTTTTGCGGGGCAGGCCTAGATTTTAGGCCTCATCTTCAACTATGCTCGTCCCACTTCGCCCCGTTTTTTTCGGACTTTTGCGGGGCAGACCTAGATTTTAGGCCTCATCCTCAACTATGCTGTTCCCATCCCGTCCCATTTTTTGTAGACTTTTGAGGAGCGGACCTAAATGGAACGGACATGCCCGTTTGCCACCCCTACCTTGAACCAAACAAATTCTCGAAGTCCATACATTGATGAAAATAAAAGAGAGAAAGATTAGAAAATGCTTTAATCTTAGATATGTTATTGTGTGTTTTTGTTGTTGTAGAATCTATTTTGAAAATTGTTATTATATAATTGATATTATTTTTTATTTTGATATGTTTGTGTTCTGGATTGGGCCCGCCTTGGCCTAAAGTGCACATAAAGGCCCAGATCCAAGCAGCTCTTCGGGGAATGACCACAATCAGCACATCACCAAAACGTGTCCGACCACATACTACATCTGCTACGCCCGTCGTTGCCCTCGGCGAGCAACATCTCCGACCAAGGGAGCCCCAACTCGAGTCCAGCTCGAGCACCCTCCCCGTAGGGCAGATTCCGTCCACTATGACCATTATGGAATCCTCAAAGCTCCGAAAAGACCGCGTCTTCGTCCTCCCTCATTCTTCGCAGAGCACCACCCAAGAAGGGGACCACGTGCGGGTCCCCACTACTCACGTAGAACTTGGTAGTTCCTTTATTGGGACAGTTCTGGTCAGCCCAATGATGGGACCTTGGCCCAGCGATGGGGGCTATAAATACCCTATGTTCCAAGAGGGTCAGGTATTCATCTATCACACGCTTATACACTTTTGTCTGCCCATTTCGTCTCTCATTTTAGCATCGGAGTGTCTTGCAGGTACCCCCCCATCTCTCTCAAATTCAGTTCGAGCCAGCTGTGACGGTCCAAGTCTGATCCGGTAAGATCAGTGGCGCCGTCTGTGGGAAACTAGCTCTCCCGTCTTACAAACTCTCAAAGACCAAAGCTAAAAACCATTTTCCACCGTCATGGCTGACCAGACTCGGAAAGACCAGAACGTCCGCGTCTTCAATGCCAACAACAACCTCGCGGACAAAAACGGAATCTCCGACAACACCGGCAACCCCGGCCATAACGCACTCCTCGGGGGCGTCATCCCTAGGCCCTCAGGCCACCGCAAAGGAACCACGGCCTCATCTTCTTCAGTCCCCCCTCCACTCGAAGATGACAATACAGCTCCCCCAAACTATCTAGCTACCCAATTCCAGGAGGTCCCTGTCCCCGCTGGGGCAGATGCCACGACCAGAGCATTGTTCGCGGCAATCAATCAAACCGACTACCTCATCTTTGCCCAGGGGGAAAGATTAAGGGCGCTGGAGGACGACAAAAGACCCGCGAGGAGACATCGGAGGCCCCAAACCCCACCTCCTCGAAGGACAGAGGTACGTCTCCCATCTCCCCTGAGGAGACAGTACAGAGACGCCTCCCGAAGCCCTTCACCCCGACAACCGGGGAGGCGACCCCCCTTAGAGAGGGAACCGATCATCGAAACCGGAGGGCGCAACCACGACCCCTTACTGCAAGAAAGAAGACATCCTGGAGACAGGCACGGAAGGATGGACCAACGAACGCACCGCTCGAGGGACATCCAACACGATCAGGACCGTCGTGCCCGACAACACCTCAGATCCCCGTCCCTTTCCCCAGAATGAAGTGATGAGGACGACCCCCGCGGTCCCCTATCACAAGCTATCATGGAGGCTCCAATCCCCCCTGGCATGGAGAAGCCCCCTCACCTGAAGGAATACGACGGAGTTGCCGACCCAACCGACCATATAGACGGGTTCGAAGCTATGTTGCACTACCATAACGTTGGAGGACCTATCAAATGCCGGTTGTTCCCCACAACCCTTAGGAAAGCAGCAATGGATTGGTACAAGGGTCTTGCCCCGGGGTCAATCACCTCGTGGAGGAACTTGAAAAACCAATTCATAAGCTCGTTCACCACGTCGCGGCGACATCCAAAGACCGAAGCGACACTCGAGGCTATCATCCAGAGGCAGGATGAAACCTTGAGAGAATTCATCAACCGCTTCAATCGTGAAGCCATCCAGGTCCCATACGCGGACCACATGAAAAGATACTTGCTGGAGAGGGGACTCCTCCCCGGCATTGAGTTCAAAAAAGCAATGGGCATCGAACCGCCCCGAACGTTAGATGCTCTCCTCGAGAAGGCCAGGGCCTATATGGATTACGAGGAAAGGGAAGTGGCCAACAGAGCCCGTGACCCCAGAACTCGCGGATCCAGCAGCAACCCGCGCCAAGAGACCGCTCCTCCTAGCGAGCCGGGGAGAAAAGAAAGGATGACAAACCCCGAGAAGTCCGAGAACAAAGAGGACCCTCGGGGCATTTCACAGAATACACTCCGCTCACGGCTTCCTGCGAGCGCATCTTGGCGGAGTGTGCCAGCACGAATTTCAAAGATGGCGGCGTCAAGCGCCCTCGACCAGCTCCGACCAAGCCCGGGGTGGACAAGAGCAAATACTGTCAGTACCATAGAAGCCATGGTCATCTGACGGAGGACTGCGTCCACCTCAAGGACGCCATCGAGACCCTCATAAAAGGGGGGAGACTCGCCCAATATCGGCGGAACGACGCTCCACGTTGCGACGCCCGGGAGACAAGAGAGTCGGAGGAGGATGCCCGACCATCTGACGAGTCAGTCCCCATCCAGACCGCCTTCTCTGTTACAAGACCTGGGGACTTCTACGTCCCCGAGCACTTGCAAGAACCGTTGTCAACACACAGCAGGTGGGAGCACTTTCCCTTCACCATGGTCATTAATGGTGGAGGATTCAACGACCTAACCATAAATTCGGCCAAGAGGAAGCTGGATGAACTGGTCGACTCTGCACCTCCTCAGACGGTGACTTTTGAAAGAGTGAAAGGTAGATCGGAGCCTATCACCTTTTACCTCGAAGAGCTCCCCGGAGGAGCCCCCAACACGGTCATTCCTCTGCTAATAAGAGCGAGAATGGCTAATTTTGACGTACACCGCATTCTCGTCGACGAAGGAAGTTCCGTCGACGTAATGTACAATCAACTATTTCGGACCCTGCAGCTCGACGACTCACACCTCTCACCTTATGTGGGGTCGGACCTACAGGGATTCAACGACTCGACCTCCAAACCTTGGGGATACGTCGAGCTCATGGTTACCTTTGGCGAGGACACGGCGACGAGGCAGGTCAAGGTGCGCTTCCTCGTTATCGACTGCCTGTCCCTCTATAACTGTATCCTGGGAAGACCAACACCGGCAAAACTGACCGTGGTACCCTCTACCGTCCACTTGAAGATGAAGTTTTACACCAAGAGGGCACGGGTCGCCACCATCCAAGGGGACCTGGCCGCCGCTCGAAGGTGTTTCAACGCGGCATCCAAGGGACGCGACACGGTCGACACTAGGACAAGGCTCGCCAAGAGACCAGCGACGACACGACCAGAGCCCGAGAAGACAGAGCCCATCAAGGCAGAAGAACAGAGAGTTCCCCCAAAGGTAGACTCCATAGCCTTGGACACCCGCTTCGACCAGGATGATCCTCCCAGCGGCGAGCAAATCCCCCTCCGACCAATTCTGGACGGGGACTTTGAGTCTGTCCCCCTCGGCGAGGATGAAAGCAAAGGAGTGAAGATCGGTACCGACCTCCCCGACCTGGAAAGGAAGCAGATCAAAGCCTGCTTGCGCAAGAATACTGACTTGTTCGCGTGGAGCGCCATAGAGATGCCCGGACTCGACCCCGAGGTCGTCTGTCACCGTCTCGCCATAGATCCAGTCGCTAGGGAAGTAGTACAACGTAGACGTAGGTAGTCTCCGGAGAAAACGGAGGCTGCTGAAAAAGCTGTAAAAGACCTCTTAGAGGCAAATTTTATTTCTGAAGCCCAGTATTCAACCTGGTTGTCAAACGTTGTATTAGTCAAAAAGAATAATGGAAAATGGCGAATGTGTGTTGATTATACCGACCTCAATCGGGCATGCCCGAAAGATGCTTTTCCTTTACCAAACATAGACATGTTGGTCGACAACTCGGCCGGTTACAAAGTACTGTCGTTCATGGACGCATATTCAGGCTATAACCAAATCCCAATGGCCGCAAGCGACAAGCATTGCACTGCTTTCATGACCAGCTCGGGCAACTATTACTACAATGTAATGCCCTTTGGTCTGAAGAACGCAGGGGCGACATACCAACGTATGATGAACAAAGTGTTCCACGACCAAATTGGGGACATGCTCGAGGTGTACATGGACGACATGATCGTCAAATCCCGAGTAGACACCGATCATGCAGCCCACCTCAAAGCAGTCTTTGCCCAAGCAAGACAATGTAAGATGAGGTTCAACCCCGAGAAGTGCACGTTCGGGGTCAAGGCAGGGAAATTCCTCAGTTTTTACCTGACAGAACGAGGAATTGAAGCCAATCCCGACAAGTGTCGAGCTTT